GTTGTGTTCGACGGATGAAAAATAGTAACGGTGAATCTATGCAAAGGTTAGGTTAACTTCCTCGATTGCAACATTTTCTGCGAACGTTTCCGCGTTAAACGGTAAACCGTGTGCAATTCGAGTATCGTGCAAATCAAGCGCCGGAGGCAGCTGCAGGCAGATTTGAAAGAATAGCCAGATCCAGCAGGCGAGGAGTCTAAATGAGCCGGAAAGGGTGACAAGAGTTGAGGTAACGAGGCACGAGTCGATTTTCACGATAAGATGAGAGAGGGATAGTCGACGTCGTTGGTCGGACGCGCGCATCTTCCTGGTTATAATGCCAGCGGACAACGTCGGAAAGCATAGACGTTTGCTGGCACCCAACCAGCTGCCAGAACCCGTACGGGTTCATCCGTACAGGTCGACCTCGCGACACGGTACAGTGCGCCGGGTAGACTGTCTTGCGCGGATATTTCACAATTGCTCGGCAACTCAGCTCGGCAGAAGATTAATACCCGGCCTACCTCCACGCTGAAACTCTCTTAGACACGTGCAGAACCAGCTTAGGACGTTGACGATTACGACAATCGCGAAACGCTTGGATCGTATAATTAACGAGGTAGGACCTTGGCTGTAAAGAGGCCTTAATTCGGGTTCAGATAAGCAGAATCGGTCAAGAGCCGGCAGAGAGAGTCGCGAGAATTATCTTAACCTTCTTTCGCGTTTCCAACTGAGGAGAAATCGACGAAAATGTGTCGAGTTTCAATTGACATCGTTAAGGGTGAAGTTTTTTTCAATTAGGAGAACGATCGCACGAGGAAGGAATAAGAAGGGAAAGAATTTCGTTCGTTTCGCTTGGAAACGTTGCGAAACAATGCGAACTTGTAGAACTTGAACATGCGAAGTTGTATACTTCCGTATCATAGACAATTTTTCATTGTGACGAACGTTCGTAAATTTTCCGCGGCAAATTTATCCCGGCCTTTTGTCTCCTGTTACGCTAAAGAGCGTTTCTGCTCGGCGAATCTGTGCTTCCGGGATCTGTGGAGTCTCTCGCGCGGGCTTGGAACAACCCTCCGTTGTTCCTTTCCTTTCCGTGATATAAACGAGCAGAACTGTACACTCCTTGGAGCGCGGGGCACCGAATTAAATGAAATCTCGTTGTATCCCTTAACGAATCGCTCTCCCTCCCTCTCTCTCTTCCTCTGTGTACATTAGCGATCGCGTTTTACCTCTTATTCGCTACAAGGGAGAACGAAGGGTCCACCATGGCTCCCTCGGCGGCACGCGGAGGGTCGCGCTTCTGTGTGCTAAGAATCGGCTAATCCTCCGCGGTGAAAAGAGAAGAGAAAAGTAACGCGACGGAGAATCGCGACAGGAAGGCAATTTGAACGAAGCGAATTTCAGAGATTCTCCTCGATATCTAGGACGCGGTTTAGATTTGTTTTGACAGTAAGGTTCATCCGGCCGAACCTCGTGGTTCTCCCCGCCCCGTTTTATCTAAATAGAGCTGCACGCAGGCTATGTAAAACGGCACGCCGTGGGAATAAAAAAATATACGCTGCAAGGGGGTATTTTTAGACGGAAGGAACGATGAACGAGGCGAAACCTCGCCAGCCGAACCTCCTAACGACCGCGAACCTTGCCTATCGAAATAATTAATAAGCGCTTCGGCGACCTCGACGATCGATAATTATTACGTACGGTGAAATGATAAAAAGTTGCATATTAGCAGGTTCGAAGCGTAATTTGCTCTGTTACACGGGGAACTTACCAGACAGTGACTATTTGTAAAGCGGTTTCTATAGATGACCGATGGCACGGACAGCTAATTATAACGTAGACACAAGTGGTCGGTCGATAGAGAGAGAGAGAGAGAGAGAGAAAAGAACAGCGAAACATCGTGTGTTGGTTATTTGTGCAAAAACAGAATGCACAAGATAGAAATGGAAACGTAGATGCAAAAGTAGACTGATCTCTCGAGTGCATAGGGCGAGAAGAAAAAATCGGTCGAGTCAACCACGGAGAACGATATCGAATATCTAATTATCCGGGCTCTCGTTTCTCCGGTCTGCTGTCCAGAATGAACTGTCGTGCAAGCAGCGGCCACGTATACTACATATATGTATAAGCGAGTAGTAAGTACACGTACGTAAACAACACAGGTACTCGTGGGCATCCAGAGCGTAGACGTGCGCCGCGTTCGCAAAGAGATACGCGGCATCCGTAATCCTGGCGACTTAGCGTGTACCTACCCGGGGATTCTTACGCATACGAGAAGAACCGTGCTCGTATTACGGTTCGCTCGGTACTACAGTTACGTTAATACCCGTGACAGAGACACGTCGAGCATGAAGCAAAAAAAGAAAAAAGAAGCGACTTAGAAGAGCGAACGGAGCGACCAGCAAGAAAATAGACGGACGGAAATTCTAACCAATTATTACGTGCTTCTTCATCGAAGGACCAACTTGGAACGCTTGCTCCAGCTTACCAGATTCTCCTTTCCGCTATTCCTCCGCCATTAAAACGAACACGCGTCGACGGATGTTACCGGTCGAGTTCCGTTACCTTTCCCTCTTTTCACGATCACGATCTGGACGGTCGTGACATGTCTAGTAGACTCGGCGAGCCTCTTTCCTTTTTTCTCTCGTCTTCCTTCTCACAGATGCACACTTCGGCGCAAGCTGGACGGATTCTTTTCGAAAGGTTCCAACGGGCGTGCTCTCGAAACGCATCGATGGGCAACGATAAGCGACAGCGATTCAGTCGTATTAAAAGTAATCGCGATGATAATAGGCGTAAGTGGGCTGGAATAACAACGGCGATATAAAGGATAGGAGGTTTCTCGTCGTTTTAGTCTTGACGGCTGGTGGAGGGCGTAATTTCGCGAGAAGGAGAACGAGTGTTTGAAATTTATCGTCGGCCTGAGAGGCAGCGGTTTTGAATTTACGGCGAGCGAGAATCGCGCCGGGCGTTACGGTGTTCCCACAACTCGTGAGAATCATTTATTTCGCGTCCGTGTTGTCGACGAGCTCGTGTTTAACGCCAAGTTACACACCGGGGTACAATTTATACCAAACTAAATGATTCGAAACGTGAGACCGAGCAGCAAAGATACCTTCTTCCTCGAACGGAAAAACTTCCACGAGAGTAATTGTCGTTTAATTAACGAAGCATCGGTTCGGAAGCACATCTACTTTGCAACTTTTCCCCCCTTGCGATAAATAAGAGCACGGTATCTATATTTAATATGTAGTACATATCGACTTTTATTTTCCCGCTGGATGCCTCCTCGAAGACGTCTCGAGAGTTGTGGAGCTGCGGTGGCAGGAAGTCACGGTACCGGAAATCTCGTTCGATGTAACGTTACAAGTTCGTGGCCGGAAATGAACATTTTTCCGTCGCTTTTACCATCCCGATCGTGATCGGTGAATGTGGCAAAGGGAGGCATCGAAGAGTAGCGAAATTATACCGTAAGCTTTCACGCTCGCTGGCTGCCGTGCGTGCAATAATACAATTAAAGTAAACGTTAATCGCATCGTTAAGCTTGTCCGTTCGTTCTATAGCATAGAAGTTCTATAGAACTTCGGGAGCCAAATTATCCCCGTGCTTTCACCGCGGCACACATACGTTTATCGACTGACTGGTTCGAGGATTGTCGCGAATTTCTCGCACGACCGGTCACCCTAATTGCAACGCAGGTCGTGATTGGAACTTCAGATTCGACTACTATTCACGGATGACGTGAGTGGCTATACTCGTCTCTGCGTGTATTTCGACAAGCTCCTAAATAATACGATGTTCGAGGTCCAGTTTGCGAGAGGCAAATGTTATGCTAACGCAGTTCCCAACGAACGGTTCGGACAAACGCGAGAAATACATAATTTCACGTGTGGAACTAGCTACTTGAATTTTTCACCTTTCCACAGAGCTCCAATTAGGTTCGATTTGTATTAACCGCGATGGAGGATTTAACGGTGACGTGAATGAGAGAGACGTAGGACACTTTTGGTAAAAATGTTGTCGAGACGATAATTTTCTGTTGTCGCAACACTTACCACCGGAATCACTCGGAAGACGAGAGGAGTGCGCGATCGCGATCATCGCCATCGCCGGTGTGCCGTAAAACGACAGTGTCCGTGAATAGCGGGTCATGCGAATTTATCAATTTAGTGGCTCGATGCACCGAACTGAATTGAGTCGTCATGCGTCGCGAACCCGACCGGACGATCGTTCTTCTCGTAATTGCATTTGTACTTTGCTCGTTACGAATGGGTTCGCGAGTCTGTTAAGCTTTCCTCCTAAAACACTGCTACCCCGAGAGACAAAGAGCGAAAGATCCAACGGCGCGTGTTTTTGCGTAAAAACAAAGAAGGTTACCCTGTGTGCGTGGGAAGTGGCGATGGCGGGAGTCGGAAAAACGCATGGCGAAACAGTAGGTTTCTCCGGAGGGTTTGTCTGCGGAGTAGACACAGAGGTGGCCCGTTGACGGGCGGAAATCTCGAGCCGGAGAGCTTAGGCAGACGGTCGAAGGTGGGTACTTTTTTTTTTCCAAGACGCCTGCCGCGAGGAAGCTTCTATTCGATGTCGACATTCGTCTGTCGGCGGTGCAGACCCACCCGCTGTTCTAGGAGTCATTGCCCTCGCTCTATCCCGAGGTTCTCACGCGTTTTCCATACAGCCTGCGTTTCTACGTGTTTGTGTCACCTGTCTGCGAAAACAGGTGCCTATTCAACCGGCGAGATCGCTTCCTCCCTACTGCCACGCCTGCTGACGCATTGCCCATTGAAAAAGAGCGGCCAGGGTTGAACCTAGCCTACGGAGGGAGCATCTCTTTCGCTAATGGTCTTTCCCTCCCCCCTTCGCTCTGTTTCTTATTGTCGTCAGAATTCCACCGCTCGCAGCCGACACCCGGCTACGATACGCTAGAATGCATACTATCCGCGTTAAAATACCGCCAACCAAATAGACCAAATTCTAGCTGATACATATTTACACGGAATATCGCGTTTGTGTTGCAGGTAGCCCAAATGCCAGTCCAGCACGCGAGCCTTCTCAATAGCACCGTCTCGAGAGCTCCTTGGTACCGGCGTAAGTATTTCAACGATCAAATGGTCAGACTCGTTGCCCAATTCGCGTAATTGGCTCCACTCGAACAATACCTTAGATATTGATTTCGACCGAGCGTGTAATTCTAAAGTCGGGCGAAACGTCATCGGAGCATCGGAGAACGACGGCGCGGCGGCGGGTAAAGATGAAACGGAGCACGATTTGCAAACTGCGCGTGGCGGAGCACCGAGTCGATATATAGGGAGCCTATTGCACGGCGGTGTAGAAGTTTGGTAGAATGAGTATAGAATCTCCTTTTCCGCCCACTACCGATCCAAGACGAACAAACGTGTTGCACACCGTCGCGTGCGTTACCGCACTTTACCTTTCACCCCTTAATGTAATGCACCTCGGCGAGGTAGCTTGAAAATAAAATTGAACGGCAGCCGGTTGGGGAAAGCAAAAGTAGCTAAACTTGCGCTACCGTTTATAAATATTCCAGTGCTTTTTAGACCGTAGCGGTAGCTTGTATCGTTGTTATTTTCGTCGGGAGTTTTGTTTGAACGAAACGAAGCGATTCTTCGATTCACCAGATATGATCGCGTTGAAGTAGACGATACGGAAATCTGAAGTGACAAGGGACAATCGGTGAGTCACGATATCCTTCCCTACCGCATCCTTTGAGCGCGAACGGGATCCAATGTGGTCAAGCGTGAGCTAACGTCTTGGATTTCCGTCACGGTTCCCCGAGATCATCTCTCTCTCTCTCTCTCTCTCTCTCTCTCCTCTTTCTTACCTCCGATGCACATCTTTCCCTTCGTTCGTTGCCAGAAATTCGAACGCTAAAGATCCGTTTGAACTTGTTCCAAAGTGTTCTTGCTGGGAACGTGATCGTCTGCGAAACGGGGAGTTTAATCCCCCTCCGGGATAGGTTTACAAAGAACCGTTCGTTCAACCTTTTTCCACGGATGCGGGCCGCCGATGAAATTTTGATTTATGATTCGACAACAATGCCACAAAGTCCAACAGTTGCTATCGTATCCGCGGCGTTTGTACAGTTATAGAGAGAACCGACGTCGATCCGTTAGAAGAAAAGAAAGCGTTTCGTAGAGATGATCGTTGAAGCGTTAACGGGCGTTAAATCACCGCCGCTGGTGTAATTAGTTCCAATTGGTAATTCAAGCGCGGCCTCTTTCCTACGTAGCTCCACTTAACCGGATACAGTCTGTATACAGCAAATTCGCAGCGCATCGATTTCTGCGTTGCTGTTACACGCGTTGCCCCACCGATCACCTTAGTAATCGCCACTGCTTCGCTAACAGTTGCCTCGCCTTTCTTTCTTTTTTCCTCCGACCAGGTGAACGGAGGAAGGACGATGTTGTCGTACATGTTACCCACCGAAGACAAACCACCACCGGGAGACTCGAATCAGGGCAACAACTACCGCGCTAGTAAGTTGCAGAAGAGTCGAAAGGATCGGCCGCCGATCGCCACGAGGCCACCGGGCAAGGTGGTCCCCGTTTCTCCGAAAAAGTACGCCGACGCGAGCAAAACGATGATCGTCTCGACCAAGATCGAGGAGCACGCCGGGGATCGGCAGAATCCCCGTCAGGAGGAGCAGCAACACGGTGTGATAACGGAGAGCCCCAAGCACAACGGCACCGTGGTGAAGAAATCCACTTTGCACACCACCAAGGTGACCAAAGACGACAGCCTGTACAGCATCAACAGCGACGCCAGCACGGTCGGGAGCGATCGCAAGAACAAAATCTTCAACGGAGCGAAGCACACTAGTCTAAAAAGGTAAGCAAGTATCTAGAGTAGAGAGAGAGATAGAGAGTTCAAGGGTCACGTCGGGACCACCTTTCTAATTTCGTTCGCTCGCTCGCTCGCTCGCTCGCTCGCGGTCTTTAACCTCCTTCTCCTCCTCCTCCTCCACCAATCGATTCCAACTCTCCCCGAATTCTTTCCTATTTCCGGCAATTTTCGATCGTCCGTATATTTCTCCAACACCTTCAACAACTCCGGTATCGTACGTGTCGGATTATCAACAACGTTATCGTTGGAGATAAGAACATTCTTGTACCGACCGATCATTGGTCATTTTTATTCGATTCGGATAAAATTCCCTCGCGTCGCATTATTCATCGGACGAGACAAGATTGCTTCCGCGTATCGTGCAACGTTTCGCGTAAAATTCACCTGGCAGAGGTGCAAAACGCGCTCTCACGGAATGTTCGGAACGTTTAGGTGCGTGTTGGTCGATGCTCGAGCGTAGAACAGGAGAGGAAAATCGGACAGAGTGTTTCATTGTCAAGGTGGAACGTTTCGAAGCGTTGCACACGAGTTTAAAATTATCTTTTTTCTGTTTGTAATCAATTGCAGTGACGTTACGACTGCTTACGATTTCATACGAGACGTGTACTCTGTCGTTCGTAGAGAGAAAGTTGGACTAATAACTCGCATGTAAATATATTTCATTGAACGACCATTTGCTAAAGCAAACACGATCAAAGTCCCGGTGGAGCGCAGGATGCAATGCCATACCGGTTTGTAAGCCGTCTTCCACGGCACATCTCACTGATACTCCCGTGACATTTACATGTTGGGGGGTAGGTCACGGTCATTCGACGTCTTGTGGACCGTGGTTGGACAGAGCATAATGTACACAGTCCCTGTAGTCTAATAAGTTGAAAAACTTGGACGAGCGCGTTTTCCTTAAGAGTATTCTAGAGAATATCAACTCAACTATTTCAAATTTAAACTCGTCCAATCAAATTCGAGATAATTTAATTTAAGTTCAAATTCGTGCTAAAAGTTATTTACGAAGAACTTAATTCTCGAAGAATTTCATAGAAATCCAGCTGTTACACGATGAGGGAACATTGCGCGGGGATGGCTTCTCCCAACACTCTTCTTGATTAGGTGTTTGGTGAAACTGTCTAGTACTTTTAACACGAACCAACCTTCTTCTGTTAGTACAGCCGTAAAGCCGTTAAATTTAACCGAAGGTTGCACGAAGGACGAATCTGTAGTCAATTACGTCTACATTTTGCATAACAAACTGCATTAATATTGCTTGAAAAAAAAGGACCGAAAGAACGATCGACCAAACAGACAAAAAAAGTTATTATAGGACATGTTTTTTTACGACTACTTCAACGAATTGGTATCGTAGCCTGTTATCATTTTATAGGGTGAGAAGTATACGACGACGAATTCACTTTTTTGGGAACGAAATGAGAAAGTAGCGCGTAGGCGGGTGATCACGAGTCACAGTTACGTCATCGGAAACAGTTCGAGATGGTGACACAGATCGAGCGTAAGTAGAAAGGGTCTACGTGCGTTGCTGGACAGAGTGACGTTAGCATTTGCGGGATGTTTCTACGGAACCATGTGGCTCTATGTATCTTTACGTGGTATCTCCTGTGTTACCCTCTCGAGTAAAGCTTCGTTGAATAACGTAG